GAATTCACTGTCAAAGACAGAAAGAGAGGAAAATGTACTGCAGACGTATTGAGAAAGTGGGGGGGGGGTAAGACCACACAATGGCCACATATCAACACCCAGCGATACATCATCTCAGGTCTTCCTGACAGGAATCTATAAATCACACTGACATGATAAGCATAGTTTTAGGAAGATATAGCTCTGTCCATGTGCAGCTATAGAGTGCAAGCCAGGCTAATACCACTGTGTTTGGCTGGATAATGTGTTGTCCATGGTTCGGCCTGCAGTGGAATCTAAGCTATTGAGCCTGATTAACCTCTGACTGATCACAGATCAGTATGTTAATACACAATTGTCGCTTGTTCCGAAAGCTCATGAGCAGCACAAACAAACATACAGCACGCACACACACACACACACACACACACACACACACACACACACACACACACACACACACAGTTGTGTCTCCATGCCTTCAGAGGACATTACATTTACATCAATTTCCTGCAGACTTACTCCCGTCTTGACCATATTTACTACATGTTTAACCCTAACCTACTCTTAACCTTAAACCTAACCTTATTTTAACCTTAAAACATCTTCACCTGAAAATTAAATGATTTACGAATGCAGCCATAATATGGCTGTAGGTTCCCACAACATGAGTAATACCTGAAACACAAACACACACATGGACATCGACACTTAGAGACATTTAGAGGAGCCGCCTACAGAGGTCTGATGCCACTGATGGCTCCGAAACTGACATTGAGTTTTTGGCTAATACGCAACTGCCAGCTGGTTCAGTGTGCAAACACATAAACACTCATCATGTGTGCACATGTGCACGCAGACACACACTTGAATAGACATTGATTAGATTATACAGGGGGCTTTGAAGAGCATGTCTCAGACGCAGGGTTAACTAATACACTGCCAACCAGTGATTTCCAAGTGCTTACGCACGAATGCACATGAATACACACTCGAACACACTCGAACACACTTGGTGCTATAATGCATTGATCGTAAGTAGTGTACTGGTTGTTTATTCGAAGGTGGATATGGTCCTAGACACCAATGGCAGTGCATAGATTACAAGATGCTGTGATCTGGATGCTTTGGCTGTAGTAATTTAGTCACTGAGGAAAATAATTATATCAAGAATTTGTTAATTATTATGCAGTAAATGCAGAATGGATTCTGTGTGCCTCAAACACCAGAAAATCAATTACATTTTTTCTGTTCCAATTAAAATATTCTGATGAAAATACAGATACAAAATAACTAAAACCAAATCTATTAGTTATTGTATAACTAAATTTAAAAAAATATATAATTTGCTTTAAATGTGTGTTCAAAATAATGATTGTTGAATAAATTCACTCGACAAAATGCTCCCTCAGCACACAGGTCCAAAGTAATGGTGAAAACATAATGCATTAGTAGCCAGCGAAAACCTCCTCAGTCCCACATGCATCTTCCAGCTATCGTCCAGTGGAACTACATCAACTACTCAAACATAGAAGAACGTCATCAGTGCTCATTGATGAAGTCTCAGAAAGTGTGATATTCACCAGTTTTCAATATGTGCTCTTTGATAAAGAAATGTAACAGCCAGACTTTAGAAAATGAATTTGTGAAGCTCAAATAATCTCTCGTTGTGGCACCGATATGTTGTTTTCTCTTTCCGTGTTTCCTGTCTATCCTGCTCCTCAGCACTCCCCCTCCCCTCCTCTCTTTGTGGCATTGTGCCTCACCCCTCCTAATGGACATTGACCAAAGAAAGACAGAGGAGAGGGGCTGTACACACATCCACACAGACACACTCAGGGCTGTTTTTTTTCTTTCACTCAGAGCAGAGCTGGTGCAATGATGACGCCTTCTAGATACTCTCACAACACCTTTTTGTTTTTTCAAATATTTAGGCTTGTATACTTTTAATCTTTCAAGTGGTAAGCAGTTATAAAGAACCAATATGATATATGTTTTAAGGGTGCAAATATTTTTTTTAATCTCAAACTATAAAGGTGTAATCCTAAAGATTCTTGGTTGATATGGCAACAAACTTTTACTTGGGTAACAAGTGTGTTTTATTACCACAGCAAACACTCTGAGAATATAACAGAAGAACAACTGGGTATGTGATTACAGCGCAACCAAACAAACTTGCGTAGTTTTTAATGAAGCTTAGCACAGACCTCAATGACAAACACACTGTTTCCTGTGGCTGCTTCGCAATAAAAGCCACCCCATGGTTTGCCTATTGAACAATTTTAAGGTGAAGCAATGACAGTAGGAACTGACCTTTGCATCGCTGCACTGCATGTTATAAAGTGAGCAGACAAAGACAGTGAGGGATATATCAGTTAGATAAAGTTGCACTGGATTACCTGCATGCATCATTTTCAGGTCTGCGATACACAGTTTAATTTGTATTGTAGATGCCCAGACGATCTGTTTGATAATGTGAAGCTCAAAGTAGAGATCCACTGTTACCCACAAAGACCTATACATATGTACACCTGACCAGTAAGGAGTGCGTTTTGTACCGGCAGGTCCACTGTGCCCACTAACTGCCTCCAACCTTGAATGGACAGGTGCAGATGGACGGTTGCTATGCGGAAGAACGGTTGCCATGCTTTGAATTGTAAGAAGCTGCTTGTCTCCCACAGTTAGTTGAACTGTCTGAATAAACAAGTGTCTTCTCTCGCTTAGAAATAACACCATAATCATTTTTGGTACAGACCTTCCATTTCCATATCTCACAAGCGTTGCATTTGATCAAATTGAGAGGAACTGTCTGATTCTCCTGTCAGCTGGATGTATTTGACATATTCTATCAAAGCTTCTTCTTCTCAAGAATAACTATTTCCCCAAGAGGCATTTTAAATGTTGATCAAGAGTAAAAAGGGTGAAGAGGAGCCAAAATACATTATGAGAACATTCTGTAGGGCAGTGAATACATTTTTGATTTTCTTCCATAATCACACAAGACAGAGCGATATATTTGGCCATTTCATTTACACCTCTGAAAAAACGAAAGAAATTAGTAGTCCACAGTCGGTGTCTGTGATGGTATTAAAGCCACCTGTCACTCATAACAAGATCTAGGAGATTTTCCCAACCTGTTGCCATGACAACTCCACAACATATGAAAACTCCACATGAGCTGAAAATAAACAGGGCTTTCCCAGGTTTTCCAAGAGCTTTATAGGCGATGATGTTGCCAGAGAGCAATGTGGGAGATTCCCCCAAGAGCACGAAGATTTTGAGGAAAACTTAGAATACAAACAAGTGCTCCGCAGTTAAACTGTGCTTTTTCTCTGACACGTCCAGCAATGTGTACATTAGCTGTAACTGTAAGAAGAAGCAATATAGTGGGTGAGAAATCTACCCCACTGGCATGCACGTAAACATCCCATATTGAAACCTAGCCATCAACACGCCAACAAGAGAGAGACACATTGTGCCAACTCAGACTTTTAATACCAGCAGCAGTAGAAAACAACCTAGCTCCAGCCCATGTGAGTGTGTCTATATAAACTCATCAAATATTCAAATCAATAACGGTGTGCTTTATACACCCAATCATAATTGTAAGAAGTGAAGGGATTAAAGAGCTATCGTGCCTCTTTTTCCGGTCAAAGTAAATGCATAGACTGTGCATTAATCATATTAACTTCTATTACACTGAAGCAAATGCTCCATCACACATTCACTGCACTTGCCATATACACAGGAGAGGCCTAGGCAACACGCACGAGTAGCAGGAGCATTGAACTTGGTCCAAGTGCAACTTCTGGTGCTTTCACAGAGATATTGCTTGATGAAAACATCGTCAAATGCTTGGTAATACTGTTACTAGTTAGCACTCTTGAGTGATAGGCCTCCTCCAGCCAGATGACTGCAATAGTCTGCTGTTACATATTCTGCTGCTGCTGTTATTGTAATGAACAATATGATAACACATGGCACAAGGAAAGGGTTTTGTCAGTATTTTTCAAAAGCACTAATTAGGACATTCATTTAAGTTCTCTGTGTCTCACGCACTGCTTCACAAAACTCTAACCTGCCTTAAGTGTAAATGACAACATTCTCAAAGTTGCATGATTACCATGATTTACCATAAAGTGACCTTTCTACCTATTCAAATTCTGCACATCAAATGAGGCTCATTTCAACGATAACATTATTAGAATTCTATGGCTCCAGCTATCAAGACAAATTACCATAATACCTTGAACTGCTCTCTCTAGCTATTGAAATTCTATGGGCGTTCCTTCACACTTTGTTTAGACTTGGGGTGATAGTTGGCTGTATCTGCTGTAGCATGTTGTGCACACAAATCAGAAAACTTGCATGTTTGTACCGGGCAGCTGTTAAAGCAGATGTTCCCTCTCTCTACATTAAAACCTTTTAATAGTAAAGGTTGTAGCAGTTTGATAGTCACCAAGGAGAGCCAGTCACAGGCAGATCTGATAAAATCAATCACTGTGTCAAGTTCTACTCAGGTAAAATCCCATAAAAAAAAAAAAAAAGTATCATAATTACAAAGCCATAATGTAATTACCAGTAGTGAAACTACACAACAGAACATCAACACAGCAGTTCAACAATGAAGCAAACTGACAGACAAGCATTAAAACTTGTTAAACAGCCCAGGCTTTTGCCCAGGCTCGCCTTCATTCAGCGAACTCGACAATGGCTCTGCACCACTACAGATGTCTTTATCATTTCAGTTGATTAGACTTTTACAACTGGATGACTGGCTAATCTCCACTTGTATCATCTATCATCTGTTTTCATCCTCATAGCAGCGGCTGATGTCTGCCGATTAACTTACACACAACTGCATGTGCACACACACACACACACTTACAAACACATACAGCCACATGGAGGCTTTTTACTAATACGTGTTGAAAGATTCATAGAAGTCATCGACAGACAGTGAATTTAAAAAAAAAAACAAAAACATTCAGACCATAAATTGACAGTGTAGATGGACAGACCTGTAAACCAGTGTGTCATCACCAGAGCTGTTGTACTGGACCTGGAACATCCTGACTCCAGACATAGGCGTCTGACTGCTCCATCTTATGAGGGCAGAGTTCCCTGTCAGTTCCACCAATGAGACCCTCCGGTCTGGCCCCCTTGTCTCGTTGTTAGGCAGCGCGACCTTAGAGGAGGTTAGAATGTCAGAGGGGGCAGGTTCAGAGGACGGGTCTCGACTGCGGCTCGTGCTGTTTGCGAGATGGGGCATCGCCGTGACAACTAGCTCCACCCTTCCTGTGGATTCACCTGCTGCGTTGGAGGCAATGCAGGTGAAGTTTCCGGAATCCTTCAGGGATGTTACATTGATCTCCAGGCTCCCGTTAGGGAAAACTAAAGTTCTGAAACAAATGAAAAATGTAGATATATCATAAACTTGATTAATTCAATAAATCAATCAAAAAATCAACTGAAATATATGTTACAACAAAGCAACAAATATTTATAGGGAGGTTTTAGAAGTTCAAGCAGTAAGATGTTATTCATTCTAAATTCATGTCCATTTTAATCCCTCATTTTTTTATTTTTTCATCTTCTCTGTTACATCTGCTGGCTACTGTCGTGCCATTGCACCGCTCCCTGTTCATTCCAGTCACTAAAAAAGTGAGACACATTCACTTCCAGCTGCAAAATGATTCACCATTGCATAATTTAAGAGGCAACTCCCTTCTGGTTCTCACCACCCAGTCACGTAAACCCTCCTCCTTTTTCACCCACATAGGAGCCGATGGATAATCAGTGTTCTTGTGATCAACTCATTTACTCACATCTCCACTTTGCTGCCTGCAGCACCTGATGCTGATGCCAGCTCCCACTGCCAGCATCCATCCAGACTCTATTCCGAATCAATGCAGTGACTGCCAGGCTGAGTATCATGGTACTGACTCTTTGCAGACTTTACTACCATAAGTTCAGGCATAAACCCAAAATGCACTCGCCAAATAATCCAACTATGCTTTGTATCCATAGGATTTTCTATATCTAAAGATGCAAACAGAAATTTCAAATCAAAAGGTGCCTAAGAAAAAAAAAAAAGGGTTGTGACATTATACAGTATATCAAATATCTTTCTTTTTATAACCAATGTTCTATATGCAAAACCATAACTAGAAACCCCACACATCTGACAACTGTGCCAACTAGGTTACTGGATGAAAGTGTGAGAAAGGTCTTATGGGTGAGGACAATAAACTTCTGACCTTGTTTCAAAGTTGTCTCACACAAGTCATGTGCGCACTACTACTACAGCCATGACAAAAATTATGTGAGACATGCTGTCTTTCTAACTTGCATATTGGCTCATAGCACTGAGCTGGAGCAGCACAGGAGAATATTTAAACAACCCCTTTCCTTGCACCTGCCAACTGATTTGCCAGGTTTCTGACATCGCTGGAATGTGGACCGGTGTTCTCAGTGGACATGTGATAAATTAACTTCGCCTTAAATTTTGAAAGATTGTACAGTTTATTGGACAAGAGAGAAAGGAGATCAAACTGGAATGAGGAACCATGGTAATACCTGGAGCCATTTGATATAAGTCGCCCTTCAGGGCTGATCCAGTGGACTTCAGGCTCTGGGTCACCATTTGCTTTGCACTTCAGACTGGCAGGCTGGCCTTCCATAGCCACGGTATGAGGTGACTTACGGGTCAGAACTGGTGGGTCACAAATAAACTCCTAAAGGGCAAAAGAGATTAGGTCATTCTTTCAAGTCTGCATTGTTTTCTGAGCTTTATTATTCACTTTATTAAAGTGGTAATTTCAAAGATTTTAATTTAAATGAATGCCTGTGAAGTCAGCGTCTGTCACCGAATGAGGTAACGCAATAGTGACTGAGCCTACGGCCCACTGATGAAAGTATTGCAATATTTATACAGCATTATTATGAGCTGGGTGTATGTGGCGACATTCCTGGAAATGATGCTGTATTAAGTTGCTGCTAATGCAAGTCAAACTTTTACTGCTGCTGCAGCTTCACATTAAAAGCATTTAACTGGTGAAACACAAGATGACTATTGTTATCAAGTAGTCACAGGAAATGTAGTGTAGTTTTTCATTGAGCTTAGCACTTATCACTATCGTTCATCAAAAATTTGCCAACAAAACAAAATAGCGGTCTTTTTCGGCCTTTAGTGACAGTTGATCAGTTTGAAATATAACGGGGAGCAATGGAACAAGAAAGAGCAGCCACAGTGAGCTGTTAGATGAAGAGTTGGAGGTGGCAGGCTGCACATCAACTTCTCAGCGAGGTAACCAACTCTTTTCACTGTGCCCTGCTGTTTGCAGTCTCATACCGTGTGCAGCATAAAATCAGATCATTGTTGCGCTCAGAATAATGGAAAAAAGCCAATTATTGATTCTTTGTAAAAAAAAAAAAAAAAAAACGGTTTGTTTTCGTGCCCCAAAAATTCTCTGACCTGTAGTATTAAACCACATTTGCTGTTACCACCAGTAACTACAGCTGTCGCCAAATCAACCAGGTTTGAAATCTTCAAGATTACCACTTTACAGGTTTGCCCCATATCCAATGTTATGAGACATATTCTTATCAAAACGTCACCTCTTCAGGGATTGTCCAGAAGTACTTGGCACTGAGGTCAGGGGGAGAGGCACATGTCTCCAGGTCATCTTCTCTGGTTAGTCTCCTCAACCATAGAAGTTCACAGTTACAGTGAAGGGGGTTGCCACCAAAACTCAACACCAGGGAGGAGAGAGGGGAGCCTTTGGACTTGGCATAAACTGGGATTCTCAAGAACAACGGGTCAGGGGGTATTTTCTTCAGCTTGTTTGACGTCATGTCTAGCCTGTGAAAGGGAAAGGTGTAGGGAGAAGAGAGTTGGAAAAGAGATGATTATCAGATGAATAGAAATTCATTCAGTCGGTCAGTAAATCACGCAGCACATAATTGGCATTTGAATATATTATATTTGATTATTTAGATCACTTTACATTATCTAACTCTACACACATCATCTGCTTGTCCCTTTGTCCTTTACTCTATATATCCATTTACCTGGCCAGTTTGTGCAGGTTGGTGAATACACCTTGGGGAACATTTTCTATGAGGTTATGATCCATATTTAGGGTATTGACATTGGTTAGGCGCCCAATCGTGTCCCAGGGCACCTGAGCGAGGTTGTTGTAACTGAGGTCTAGATCCTCCAGTGTGGACAGGAAGTCATCAAATGCGTGGGGAGATATGGAGTGGAGCTGGTTGTTGGCCAGGATCAGGTGGCGAAGGTTGGTCAGGCCTTTAAAATGGTCATCCTGGTTCATAGAAAAGTGAATATGCAGTGAGAATAACTTCATAAAGACAAACTCTTGCACATACATACCTGTACTGTAGGCTATTTCTTTCTGTCTATCTACTGTATCTACAGTTGTATAAATTATTCTGTCGTTCTAGCACTATCAGAGTTGTGTGTATTCATCCATCCAAATGTAAACTCGGGTTGTGTGGCTCTTTTTCTGTTTATCAACCCATTTACCCATTTGATTATTCAATCCTATTCACCAACATTAATCTATCCAGCCGTCCAGCCATCAATCTTACCTTGATCACAGTTAATCTATTAGAGTCTAGGTGGAGTGCTCTCAGTCGCCGCAGGTCACTGAAAGCTGAAGGGAGGATCTGACTGATGGTGTTTCTGGACAGGGTCAGATGCAGCAGGCTGGTCATGTTGGCAAAGTCCTTTCTTCGGACAGCTGGTAGTGAGCAGAATAAACACAAAGACTCCATTAGCTAAGTCATAAGGGGTCAGATATGTTGTATTACCCAGGGAATGTATTAAGGTAAAAATAGTCAGGAGATGCACATGCACCAAAGAAGTTTTAAAACGCAAATGTTTGCCTGACCCTAGAAAGACAAACTTTTTGGCAACAGTAAACCCCAATTGACAGCCAAGAGAATATGGCATCACGCAAAATGAGATACACAATCTTTAGTTTTGCGCAGAGTAGTGCCACAAACTGAAATTGTTTGTGTGATGTTGTTAATGGCACGTCATAATATATTTCTGGGCACTTTGAAAGCAGCCTTTTTTTAGCTTGTGCATCTTTTGTTTTGGAACTATGGCATAGAATATTTTTAAGTCAAGCCTGGGAAGATTAGGTGGCTGCTTTGGTGGGAGCTAATGGGAATCCAGATTAAAATAAAAAGGATAAAGCAACACTTTAGTTCTTAAAAATAAGTATGTTTCAAAGTATAAAAGAGAACTCTTTGATATAAGGCACAGATGAATCGTGAATGAGATTTGCCAGACTGAATCACAGAACAAACCAAAAAAAGCAAGAAAGACAAAAAAAGAAATACCCAGGCTCATGAGAAATATTACTTAGTGTCATGTGGAGACCAACAAAAATAAAGACTTGTGACTTGAGCCAATATTTGTATTCACTGTTAACAAACTGTTCAGTTGCATGCACTTGTTCTGAGATAAGGTGATTATGCTGCCAATTATCAACCAGCTACTGAATTTGTTTCCATGTAAACGACCAATCCAAGCATACACGTCAAGTGACAGATAATGACAAAAGAGGGTGAAATAAATGGAGCAGTTTATGAAAGCATGTTATATCACTCACAAGTAACAAACTTTACTCACTGCACTCCAATGTGTTATTTGAACTCCAGTGGTATATTAAATTGAATGTAATACAGGACAGACTGGCAGGTACATTACCTGTGATGAAGTTCTCTTGAAGCCGTAGCTCCACAGTGCGTCGGTCAATGGCAGCAGGAACAAAGAGCAAGCCTGTCTTGGAACAGAGGATAGCGAGCGATGGAGAAAGGCTCTGGCACATACAGCGTTTCGGACACGGCTGTCCCCTGCATGCTGCTGCCAGCAACAGCAAAGAGAACCACAGCCGTTCCATTATCCTCCACAGGGAACAGGGCAACTGGAAGATAGATAGAAAGGAGCAATGAATTGAAGTGGATACAAAGATGATGTGGTAAAGAAAAGGAACTGTCAGGAAGCTGGAAACCAGGGTAAATCTGACCTGTAGAGACACTAGAGAGTAAGTGATTATCTTAAACTTTTTTAATCAAATTCAGCGAATATATCCTCATGGTCCGCTAGTTGTCCATTCCGTGTGTGTGCTGATAAAAAAAATAAAAAAAAAGCCCCATGCTCTGTAAATAGAAAACAAACAAAGTGGCTCGCACCAAGCCATTCCAGCCAATCAGCAACAGGGGGCGTTTGTGCTCATGCACAGGACTAGGGAAAGAAACAGTGAAGAGGGGAAATGAGCGAAAAGGGGGAGTGAAAGCGACAGTCAGTAAACCTAGCAGATGCTAACTGATAGTGCCAATCTAAGGATACCAGGGGAAGGAGAAGGAGCAGCATCGATGCCAGACTATGTGGAGTTTTGATTGGGATTGATTGGGAGATTGCAGACAAGAGACCGGTACAGAGACCAGAGATGAAGGTGAGCACATGGAAGAAATTTCTACTGATGGTGGCATGATGGCATGATATACCCCACAACATAATTGCATTGTCAGGCTAGAGAGATGGCCAAGGAAATGCCAAAGAGGACCTGTAAGAAACCTGGACTTATACATTGCAACTTGCCCGCATCCAAATGATAGGCATTTGGGGTGGATGGATATTTTGACGGTACTCCGCCTGACCTATGTGCCAGCACAATTGACACCAGGCCATTGCCGCCACAGCCATCTGGAATTTGTCTCGATAGTCACGATGGCCAGTCCAACTATGGTGGAGAGACCTCTGAAAGTTGAATGACATACAGAGATGGAGCTTGCTTTTTTTCTGCATGACAGATGGGTAACATTAATTAACATTAACATTTGTCCTGCTCACTGCTCAAGAGCTGAACAGAATTACACAATGGTGTGAGCTCATATAGGACTATCATTGTGTGGGTGCATAGTGAGCTGGCACTGGGGATTTTTTCCTCATCAGTCCCTGTTTAATGTTTTGGAAAAATGTAATGTCGCTGTTTTCCTATGTAACTGCAGTTTTTGTGTTAATGTTGCATTATGGCTACAGCATCCACCTGTTTTGTGTTTTTTAACAACTTCAAAGAAGTTGCACACATGTTGTATATTATTACAATTGTGATTAATTTGCTTGGGCTGCATGACTTTATTCAAATTTCACCTTTTTGTAGTTAGAGGTGTATTTATGCCCTTCTCACAATAACAATAATGGGCTCCAAGTATCATCAAAGTCATTGAGGAACAAATTCTAGCTGTCATAGTTTAGTGAGGCAGCTAAATATACACTACAGACAGAACTCAAAACTCATGGTGTGATATGTCTGTGTACCAGTGGTCAGCAGTATATTAGCCTGCCCGGTTTGACAACTAGACTAATCAATAGCATTGAACTTCTATTCAGTAGGGGGCCCGTGAAATACCTCTCCATTCTGCGTCTCCCTAGATACTCCTAAAACCCTCGTCTCTATACTTTATACTCCTATCACCCTTATGTTTATACTGCTAAACCCTTGTCTCTATACTTCTCCTTCTAGATTTTATTCCTGCATTTGACATCCTAGCTCATAAGATTTTATTAAAGAGACTGGAACATCTCAGTGGGGCTGATTCAAGTCATGCTGTATTTGTCAGATTCCAATTTGTTGATGTTAACAATGACTCTTCCATGCACACAAGTTTTTCATGGAGTTTCACACGGTTCTGTGCAAGGACCAATACTATTCACCCTATACATGCTTCATTTAGGCAATATTATCATTCAGAAAAGTACTGCATAAATTTCCATTATTCCGCAGACGACACCCAGCTGTAAATTGTAATTTCTGTAAATTCAGACAAAACTGAAGTTATTGCACTTGACCCAAAACACCTCAGAAAAACATTATCTAATATAGTTCCTTTAATGGCATTACCTTCGCCTCCAGTTCTACAGTAAGGGAACTTTAGGTTGTTTTTTCACAAGGACACAGAAAACAATATGGACAGCCTTCTTAACCTGCACAATATTGTGACAATTGCAAACAATATGTCTCAAAATGATGACACAAAACTAGTCAAGGCATTTGTTACCTCTAGACTGGACTACTGTAATTTCTTATCATCAGGACGTCCGGATAACTCTGGGAAAAGCCTCCAGACAATCCAAACTGCAGCAGCCCAAGCACTGACAGGAACTAGAAAAAGAGATTACATTTCCCCTGCATTAGCTTCTCTGCACTGGCTACCTGTAAGATCCAGAATAGAATTCAAAATCCTTCTCACGTATAAAGTCCTTCATGACCAAGCTCTATCGTATCTTAAAGACTGCATAGAACTCTGTTATCCCTATAGAACACATTGCTCTTAAAATGCAGGCCTACTTCTGGTTCCTCTAGAGCAGCGGTCCCCAAACTTTTTTCAGTGGGGGCCACATCAACTTTCCTTTCTGAGATGGGGGGCCGAGGTTAGTCTATAACAGGAAATGATATGGGCCAGGGTGACAACCAGTATTATTGTGGAGATTACAATGATAATTTGTTGTAGCTGCCCTTCGTTTGGCTTTGGCACCACCTGTTGATTTGCAAAAAAAAGTAATAAAAAGTCTTCACATGTGTTTATTTGAAGTTACACAAGATACTCATTTATTTTATAGAAAATAAAACACAAATGATGTAATGCCGGGGGGCGGGGGCGCCGGCGGCCACCGGGCGGCTAGCTCTGCTTGCTGGGCGCAATGGCTGTGCCGGGGGGGGGGGGGCGCCGGCGGCCACCGGGCGGCTAGCTCTGCTTGCTGGGCGCAATGGCTGTGCCGGGGGGGGGGGGCGCCGGGGGCCACCGGGCGGCTAGCTCTGCTTGCTGGGCGCAATGGCTTGTGCCGGGGGGGGGCGCCCGGCGGGCCGCCGGGCCGCCATGGTCATCTCTCATATGCTGAGGTGCACACCATTAAGACTAGTGTGAATGTCACAACGGAAAAGTTTGTCCAAAGTCCACAAGTTTGGTGTCTACGGACTCGGCTCGTCACGCTGAGTAACATATGTCAGCCCAGCCTTCTGAGTCGCTCCCTTCGAAGGGCCGCCATGGGCGGTTTCTCATATGCTGTCGGGGACACGGTTAAATTCTGTGTTTTAATAATTTCCAAAAAAATTTCTCGAAAGTCCACAAATTTGGTGTCTACGGACTCGGCTCGTCACACTGAGTAACATATGTCAGCCCCAGGCTTCTAAGTCGTTCCCTTCGGAAGGGATGCCTCGTTAAACGTCTCCGAGGCCCGCTTGCTGCGACGAAAAATTTTGTCAAAAGTCCACAAATTGGGTGTCTACGGACTTGGCTCGTAACATATGTAACATGTAACATAACATACGTCAGCCCCAGCCTTCTGAGTCGCTCCCTTCCGAAGGGCCGCCATGTCAGGTCTCTCATATGCTGAGGTGCCACACCAGCGGTCCCCAAACTTTTTTCAGTGGGGGCCACATCAACTTTCCTTTCTGAGATGGGGGGCCGAGGTTAGTCTACAGGAAATGATATGGGCCAGGGTGACAACCAGTATTGTGGAGATTACAATGATAATTTGTTGTAGCTGCCCTTCGTTTGGCTTTGGCACCACCTGTTGATTTGCAAAAAAAAGTAATAAAAAGTCTTCACATGTGTTTATTTGAAGTACCACAGATACTCCATTTATTTTATAGAAAATAACAACACAAACTGATGGTAAATGCGGGCGCGGGGGGGGGGGGCGCCGGCGGGCCACCGGGCGGCTAGCTCTGCTTGCTGGGCGCAATGGCTGTGCCGGGGGGGGGGGGCGCCGGCGGGCCACTGGGCGGCTAGCTCTGCTTGCTGGGCGGCAATGGCTGTGCCGGGGGGGGGGGCGCCGGCGGGCCGCCGGGCCGCCATGGGTCATCTCTCATATGCTGAGGTGCCACACCATTAGTGTGAATGTCACAACGGAAAAGTTTGTCCAAAGTCCACAAGTTTGGTGTCTACGGACTCGGCTCGTCACGCTGAGTAACATATGTCAGCCCCAGCCTTCTGAGTCGCTCCCTTCCGAAGGGCCGCCATGGGCGGTTTCTCATATGCTGTCGGGGGACACGGTTAAATTCTGTGTTTTAATAATTTCCAAAAAAATTTCTCGAAAGTCCACAAATTTGGTGTCTACGGACTCGGCTCGTCACACTGAGTAACATATGTCAGCCCCAGGCTTCTAAGTCGTTCCCTTCGGAAGGGATGCCTCGTTAAACGTCTCCGAGGCCCGCTTGCTGCGACGAAAAATTTTGTCAAAAGTCCACAAATTGGGTGTCTACGGACTTGGCTCGTAACATATGTAACATGTAACATAACATATGTCACCCCAGCCTTCTGAGTCGCTCCCTTCCGAAGGGCCGCCATGGGTCATCTCTCATATGCTGAGGTGCCACACCAGCGGTCCCCAAACTTTTTTCAGTGGGGGCCACATCAACTTTCCTTTCTGAGATGGGGCCGAGGTTAGTCTACAGGAAATGATATGGCCAGGGTGACAACCAGTATTATTGTGGAGATTTACAATGATAATTTGTTGTAGCTGCCCTTCGTTTGGCTTTGGCACCACTGTTGATTTGCAAAAAAAAGTAATAAAAAGTCTTCACATGTGTTATTTGAAGTACCACAGATACTCCATTTATTTTATAGAAAATAACAAACAAACTGATGGTAATGTTCAAGTAAGAATGAGGTGATGTGATTTTGTAACAGGTACAGTTGAGTTAACAAACGGTAAGTGTTCTGTCTTTACAGGTAGTGAAATAATATTAATACAGAATAGTGGTCAGAATCAGGTAGAACATGTTCCTGTAAAAAGAGCATTACTATAATGACATTTTTTAATATCTATTGCTATTGAAATCAGTAGGCTTACCATATCAGTGTGAGCTGTGGGCTTACTTCTGACTGGTGAGGA